CATATGAAACACATAGTCTTAAAATAATTTTAAAATCCTATTTATGAACCGTGCTGGTGATTTTTTTTTCTTATTTTTCCTTAATTGTTCAATTTTCATTACTTGGCTTTAAATAACCTACTTTGATAGGTTATTATTGCGAGTCAAATCTTGTGGATTGGGAGTTTGCGCATTTAAATGTTGAATTGTAATATTTGAAACAATTTTTTTTTTGTTCTTTTTATTTTTTATTTAAAAAATATATATATAGTATTAATTTTTTTGTTATGTATGACATAATTAACTTTAAGCTCAGCACGAGAACAATAAGGATAGAAAACTTCCGTACTTCAACTGCATTTAGTTTCTTTGAAGCGTATAATAATTTAGAAAAATCATTTACATACTATTTTTATTTTAATGTTAAACAGAAGTAAAAAAAAAACAGATTGTAGTCTAAGATCTACTGAAGTCAGGAGTGATTAAATATATTGTAAAGATTCAGTATTTACTAAAACACTGTCGTCATCACCTCATTCATAATCAGTCATGACCTCATTATTAATTTCTGTTTTGTTATCTGCTTCGCATTGAACTATTTGTTATCTATGACTTTTTTTTAATCTGTTTGTTATTATTATGTTTAAGTTATTCTTAGTTTTTATGCTGACATAAAGTAGGAACAAAAACCTATTTTAATATACATAAATCTGAATATTTTTGCACTATCAAATGAACATTTTAAACGTTGATTTTCGTCGCGTAGCATATTTGCGTTTTTTACCCGACTGCGCGTCGCAAAAGAGGGTAATGTGTTTATTGCCCGACTGCGCGAAGCAAAGGAGGGTAATGTGTTTATCAGACTATGTATGTAAGTTTGTTTATATGTGGCGTTCTAGAAACCAAATGCGTTGGCAGTCGGCCAGTCGGGTTTTTTGTTTTTTATCTGGTTATTTCAGTTTTTGTATATTTGTTGTGTTACCTACTTTTTAACGCTATTATACCCTTAAAGAAATAACATTTTATATATTTTTTCAATATTATATGTACCCAAAGTATTAAAATGTTTGCTTTCTGTGTATAGTCTCTGTAACTATCACGACAACGTCAAGGCTGCAAGGTAATAACGTAGTTATAAAAAAAATCCTACAATTAAATAAGTAATTTGACTGTTGTAAACTGTAATCTCTATAAAACGTTAACATTTAGCAAATAGACTTGGTTGAGATAACAATGTTTAATGTAGACAGTGTGATTTAAACTAATTATAATAAAACAGTCTAAAGGGTATTGCTCTGAATTCTCAAGAATAAATCTTTAAGGAGCAAAGTTTTCGTTGTAAAAATAACTATCAGTAAATACTTTTTATATGAGGCCTTTAATATTTATATTTATATGTCGGTCCGGGAGCTGCACAAAGACCCGAACAGTATGTAAAAACTCCCGGTCGCATCCCGGAAACCTTTTAAACTGCGTTAAATCCCTGGAAATCTCGGCGAATGGTCACCCTAGTCGCATGATCTATAAAGTAATTTTCCTTATTTTACGTTATTTTATTGTACTTACTTTATGATTACTTTCTATACGACTAATGAACAGCAATAAAATTGTAATATGTAGGTGCTGCACTTTTTGTTTTGCATTATTATCGAAATTCTAGTTATTAGGAGTTCGATTGCGCAGTGGATAGTAAGTTCAGTCTCTGATTACGGAAGTTAAGTATCTTTCGCAATGGCTAGTTATGGGTGATCAAATTGTTGTTATCTTAAGCTTTATTTCTAACTGCATCTGCAGTTGTTAACCACCAATCTTAAATTCCAAGCGACCAAAATTTGAACGTGATTGAACATTCTTTTGGCCGTTTTGCATTTTGTCGCTTTACAATCAAAGATTTGTATCCGCGAAATAAAAATAGCATATATGTTATTTTAATAACTTATAAATAACGAAAGTTACCTTGGAAATAATGTCCATAATTGTATCACAACAAGAATAAAAAGAAAATAAACAAACTTCTGTTTGGCAATTGAAAATAGAACATACAGCGTAAACTTTTATTTGAGATTGTGCCGACCACGCCCCGCTCTCGCCTGGCGAATTTAAAAATAAAAGTAAACATTTTGCGCGGCATTTCTGACACGTGACGTGACGTAAAACACAATGTGTGTTTTGTTAAATTTTCCACGTTTTGGAAAGTTTTCTTTTTGTTATTTTAATTTTGAAATTTTTCTTACTTCCTCGATTAAATAAAACCTTTTCTGGCACCTTTATCTAAGACTAGCAATTAATAATTACAATATCGGTATGACGCCATCTATTTATTCTGTAAGACGATTTTTTTTTACCCTCTAAGAAAGAGTAAAAATAATTTTAAATATAATAGGTACGTTAAAAATTTAAAGAAAAATTAATAGTAACGTTTCATTTTTGTAAAATTTCTTCTTTAAATTACAATAATTTTGACGTATCTGTTTTTTGTGATGTTACGTAAAACCCAAGTCATCACATTCTTTTCTTGAGAAAAAAATAATAAGTTTATGATAAATTTAAACATTTGAAAATGGATTTTAAAAAAAGTTTTTTATGGTTATGCATTCCGTTTCCGTATGATCTGCTTCCTTTGAACTACCTCGAAGGGTGTATTGCAAGACTTACCTGTAACCCTCTGATGTAGGTACTTCAATGAAGGTACTGCACTGGTTTCCGTAGCTGATTAGCCAAGATCCCTCCCCGCAAGGTCCATTTTTATTTCGAGGCCATCGCCCGCAGTTAGAAAATTCTCCGGTACATTTGAATCTTCTCTAGGAGCTCCAGGAGATCTAAAAAAGTAGTTGAATTTCCCACCAATACCGCCGATGATCAAATGTACGATTAAAATTATAGTAAGTCTTTTTCTATTACCATAAGGTGCAAAATACAACGCGTTAGGTGAATCAACGCGTATATATTGATGGATCGCTCGATGGCGTGATACTTGAAATATTCTGATTGATCGATATTTACCGCGTTGCGAGCCACATCAATTGCACCTTACTGATATTTATTTGGTACTCTTGTTGATATTGTGACGCGCGGGTTATGCGGGTACAGTCGACCAATGAAGTACCTTCGGGGAGTTGTTATTTTTTCAACTAATATTTCTAAGACATTAATTAGTTTAAAATAAGAAACCTTGCTTATGTATATCTAAGCCTTGTTTACATCATAATAGCAGATATAGTTAAGGGCAAAATAACCCTTAAATAGAAAAAGATAGCACATAGGTACTATTCTATCCACGTCATCACATCGACAAGGAGAGGTGAGCAAATAAAAATAAAATACATATTTATTTTTAACCACTATCACCATAATAACAAATTTCGTTATGGCAAAGATTCAAAATAGTTTGGCGTCGAATAAAGATGGTATAGAAAATAAAATTAGTTTTTCATTTCTTTTACATTTTAAGATGGTGTTTAAAGAATATAATTTTAATGTTTGCAATAATATTTTTTTAGACAATTAAATTATTTTATTTATTCGCTTATGAAATTATGTGATGGCAATATTGGAATATGGGCGCTTTTTTTTTTTGTTTCTGTCTCATTTTTGGGTCACTGCTCTTTGGCGTATCAACCTAATACGAGTATTAAGTAAAGGTATATATAAACAAGCTTTCGCCCTCGACTTCCTCTGCTTGATATTAGTAGTTATATAAATTAGTATGAGGCGACGCACGGAAACAGTCAAAAATGTAATAAAATGCTTTACAATCTTCTAAGGCACTCTTACTGTCTCCATACCTCATCTAAACCAGTTCAACTATTTAGTGCAAACAGAGAGAATTACTTTTTTTCTTAACGTTATTGGTTAGAATAAGGAAATAGTATGAAAATTAAGAATATATAGTTTTTTTTTTATAGCTCTTTCCCGTTACTTCGCCTATATAAATTATAGCCTATGTCACCCGTGTATGACGTAACCAGCCGTAGATGTTTTTTTTTTTTTTTAATATTCCATTAGTTTCAAATTCAACCTAAAATCAACCTAGTCATTCCTCTTTTTAATATTTAAGAAAATCAGGTTAGGTTAGATTTAGATTACGGAGAGGTTAAGGTTATGAAAAACGTAAGTGGTTGAATAAGCCATAAGAGTCAACAGAAATGCAGAAAAAAGACATATTTTCCAGAATTTTGGTATCTGTCCAGTGTTATTAAAGAATTATGTGAGATAACGTTATGGATATGATGTATGATTTTAAGGGTTTTTCATATTATTTTATTTTTTATAAGCTTCTAAATGGCACTGAAATTTCATTTTATTCATTGATTTGTTATCAGTAAGTTATTATTGAATACATTATTATAAATGACTAGCTGATATCCCGCTACTCAGCTCGCGTAAATTATAGCATATGTCACCCGTTTATGATAAGCTTTCCATAGGTGAAAGAATTTTGAAAATCAGGCCAGTAATTTCGGAGACTATTCAATGCAAACAAACAAATCTTTATATATTAGTATAGAAATGAGCTATTTTATAGTATAATACTTTTTGTTTTTCATATACAGAGGATGTGTCCTTAATAGACAACCATTTTTTCGCTGTAAATTTTTTGTAATAAAATTTTAAAGAAAATCACAAAACTGCGCCATCGCTCAATATATTCGCTCCACATTGTTATTAATTCTATAACGTAGTACCTATTCTATTTTAGGTTTTGGCAAGAAGATTCCATTTGGCTCCAGATGTGTTTATTCCGAATTTCATATCAGTAGCTTTTAGACCGGCTTTTCAGCAAGTTCCCTTCGCTATTAAAATAGTCGAATAAAAAAAAACATTCCTTTATTAATTCGTATTATGCTGTACATAGATTACAGCATATTTTACAGCAAAATATTAGACCCTGGTTCGGTATTTATTTAATTTTTCGCTATAATTGAAATAATAGATTAAATATTATTTATTACTGTGACATTCCAGTTTACTAATATAATATATAACTTAAAATAAATATATTTTTCTTCGTTGAATGAGCTATGGTTGTGAAACTGTATTGGTGAGTTGTTTTTCATTTTACGATTCATTTATACTATAATTGTGAATGCATAATAGAAATGTACTAAGTGTTTTCTTTATAATTAAGCCATATAATTTTATGTAAAGCCGGCATTATATGTTATATAGCATATTATAACTTCAAAAATACACTTTTACAACACAATTTATAATAAAACTTCAGCGGTTCATGTGACCCAATTTCCATTTTTATCGGCTTAAAATATAATCTCTTGTAGTGTTGTTGAATATAGATCTATAATCAAATCACAGAAATAACTAAATCTATTCACAACTAGTTTAGGAAATTAACTGTTTTAGTTAAGGGAGTCTGTTGTGTATACCTGAGCTTCCCCCATCCGCGTGAGGTAGCACACGACGATGACGAGAACTCGAAGACGTTCTCTCTTGGGGATGAACTCCGGGGCTCACTCACAATGACGATATCATCAGCCGTCAAATATTCGCTGCTATGAAAAGACCTCGGACCTTCTCCAAAAATATCTACGTTGATCGAATAAACGCTTTCCGGCGATCCTCCCAGGTCGCCAGTCCACTTTGTGGGGGACCTACTACGCTCCGTTTCCCGGTCCCTCCAACTGCCCCGTAGCTTGTAGGACAGATTGCTGTTGGGGCCATTTCTCCTACGAGCTGTTTACTGCCCAGTTCCACTTCAGACTCGCCCTTTTTCAGGCTATGTCAATCCCTTAGCCTGCGAATCTCGTTCAATTTTAACATCTCATTCGATCTCGCAGCGAATTTCCAAGCCTATTTACGAGCACAGTAAGCGACCACATGTCAGTGCCATAAGTCATTACCGGCAATGCCTTGGTAAACTTTTATTTTGAGACAATGTGATTCGAGATGAGACACTTCGGAGCTTTCCGAACGCTGCCCAACCAATTTGGATTCGAGGGACGGTATACCGCAGCTGTTTGAGCGGATTATCAATCTTAGGTAGCCAAGATGAGAATCTTTCGCTGTCCGGGCGACAGCTCGAACTGAAAATCTGTTCAAGTAGATTGTCTGGACATCGATGAAAGTACACTCACTAATAACAACAGAGAAGTACCTACTTGAGAAATTCTTCAAGGCCGCTAATATGTAAAGACGTTGCGTTTCGTCCGATCACCGCGTCCAAAAACCCTTTTGTCGTGTTTCTGTGAAAATTTATTATCTCCATATCCTAGTTTCTGGAGGTTAGGAAACTCTCACCAATGCGCACTGAGCCTGCGTGGATTATGGTCTATTCTCCTTGTCTTACTAGGTCAAAGGGATATGCCCTATTGGGGAAATTACGAGACTGATAATAGTGAAGCTCTATTTACATGTTTATATTTGTCACAGCGGCGATGGTGCGTCGTTGAGCGCGGCAGGCAGCAAACGGTCGGCTTTGTCGGCTTCGGACGCCGAGTGCTTTTCGCTGTGCCTGGGTGCCGGGCCTCTGTGGTAAGTTCATTATGGAGTTTCTAGACGTAATCGCGACTTTTTGCCTTTTTGTTTTTGGCTCCCTCGGCTCCCTCTAAGTAAAAATAAGATCCGGTTGACCGCTTTAAATAATAATTACATATATAATAGGAAAATGAATAAAAATATGTTAATTTCTTTCTTGAGATTGTTTATAATATTAACTTGGCACGTTTTTTTTCTTATGTAAGAACTATCAAGATAGGGATGGCAACTTTTTTTAGAAGAAATAGAAATTTTCTGATTTCAAAGTAGATAAATAAAGAGTACGGACTAATTAATTTTTTTTATAACGATCATAGGTAGGAGGATTATTTATGCACGACTGGCACTAGTGGCACTAGTGTAAAAGACATTGTCTTAAAAGAGTATTAGTACACTACATGAGTATGAAGTACAATAATCTATTATAGAGTACGGTTGGCGACCCTACTCCCTCCATCCACATGGGAGGGGTATGTCCTCCCTCAATTATCTTACGTAATTGATAATGGTGCCTTTGTATACTTCAGGTTTGAAATCAATACCGTTGTTTTATATTTTTTTTCAGGTGGTCCTGATGTCCCTGCTCACGACTCTGCACCGCCCGGAGGGGTGAATAGCGGGGCCTCGAGCCCCGCAACCCCATCCACCCCAGTACACGACGACAACAACCGTTAGTATAAATTTTTGCCACTATAGTCCGTTTCACATAGCAGTGACGTTTGTTAACAAATCCATTTCATGCAATTTGTGTTTCCAAGTATATAATTAAAAACCATCTCAATAAAAATTTGTTTGTCTAAGTTCTATAGTTATATTAGAATTTATTCAAATTTGTATATTAAAACACAAATATATTTTTTAATATAACCTCTGCAAATTGCTAATACGCCTGACCGCCATTTTAGTGACATAATAGCGTCTAACAATAAGTACCGTTAACAAATAAACGCTGGTCGATCAATAAAATTATTAATTTGTTCTGAGATCACACAATTTTTGTTGTGATTTTCACAATAAGTAAAACTAATTTCACTTAAAATAAATCTATATAATGTCTCTTATATAATTATTACTTTTGGCTATGTTCCAAAAATGACCCTTCCGTTTGTTATCGCGTTATTACAAAGTATTTTTTTTTTTTACCTTCTCTAAAAATTAATGAATAAATTAACGAACTAAAAGTTATAAAATTATGATGTCAATATTTGGGGGTTTTTATCATAAATATTTCAATAATTAAATAAATAATTTATCACTTGCATTTTGTGCTATCTACATTTTTCTGTTTTTAAATGACGTCACGCATTGTTAGACAAGGTTCCAGCGCATTAGCAATTTACTGGACTTATAGCCATATATATCTTTAATAGAGATTAAATTAATGAAACCGTTTTAATCGAAATATGTAACCATTTCACATATTTTAATTTTTCTTCAGTTCTTAACTTCTGTATTTTTGTGACTCGGGTTAATCTTGTTTATATATTAATCTTTAACTTAAAATCATATTTTCATCTTGTTGATAAATAAATATTTTTCTTAAACCATATTTAATATATTGACCTCAAAATCGATTATCTCTGTTAGAAATGAACTCAATAATATCGCGATTTTGTATATATATTTTTTATTACGTCACTAAAACTTCTAATTCTAAACGTCACCGTACCCATGATATGCGAAAAAGACTATAGCTCAGATGTAATGCATACTAAGGCACTAGCAGACCCTCTTAGTACAGTCAACAATACCATTGTGTAAAAGTACAAACGTCTGACCGTACCGATCTATATACATCAACACCCAATTCTTGTTCAACTGATGGAAAATTAAGCCAAGTTAAAATTATTATTTCTTTGTCGACGGTACCAATTAATGTGCCTATGACGTCATTTAGTAACAGTCATCGACGCCCAACTCGAGGCAAACTGTAAGAATATTTCGCTCACTGAATAGTACAGTGGCATAACTCAAAAACCATTAATTTCGAGAAACCGCCACAACATTGTGGTGGCATCCCATAGATAAGTTAAAGAAAAAATAAAAACTTAACAGTAATAATATAATACAAACGATTTAACTGTTATACTAAAAAATTGATTTCCAAAATTATAAATATATTAAATTTTCATAACTTCGGAGAGTGTTTCTCGAAATAATGGTTTTTGAGCTGTGCCACTGTACTATTCAGTGAGCGATTTGGTCGTCTTGACTTGCTTTGGATTATTTAAAAGATTAATACATGAATGTACGATTCCCGTTTAGTTGACCAGAATAAAAGTTTGGAGCTTATTGATGTTATAGTTTGTTGAGATTTAGACACTAGTAGATGGTTCTCTTCTCGATGATAGCTGATAGTAATCTCTACTAAACATAAGAGAAGTAAAGAAAACTACGTTGCTGACGCTTTACTTTTTAATATGGTTACCAAATCTCAGGATTTCACTTCTCGGGATTTTGCAAATCTCAAAACTCATAAATGAAATATTTTATAAAAACTAAAAATAATCTTCTCAACTTGCGATATCCAACGAGTAAGCGAGATCCCCGAGATCGATAATAATTTAACTTTATAAAATTGTTAAGTACGTTCAAGAGAAAAATCTCATACTGCAACAAGATCTCGAGATTTTTCAATGGAAATCGGGCTTTTTCTCCGGAGTTAGGTATTTTCATCTGGTAACCCTAACTACACAAGACTGTACAATGAGTTTGTTACAGGTGACTTGTTGGTAGCGTTACTATGGGCCAGCGCGAGCTCCCTCACCGGCAGCTCCGAGAGCATCGCCACAGATGGAGGCTCCACCAGACCTCTTCCACACCCTCAATCACAGCAAGAGGTAATTCTCCACCGTTGAGTCATCCTTAGATCTACCATTGACAGATACAGTGATACCAGCGTTGCCAGAAGTCCCGTTTTTTTTTTGGTCCATAATACAATGTACTGCGCGGAATATGTGTAGTCCCGTTTTGCAAAGATTATTCAAGGCACTTAGTGAAATCTTATTAAATTGTCACCACTAAAAACTTTATTTTAAACTCAAATGGATAACTAACTAAAACAATATATATTTACCATGTATAAAAAATTAACTCTTATGAATATAAAAACCAAATTACATTTCGCTTTTCAGGTGATAAGCAAGATCTTGGAGCGCAAAGACCGTCAGCCGACGAAGATAGAGTTCAAAATATTCCTCACTGAAAACACCATGGTTCGCTGGGAAGCTGTAAGTATAATAATAATAATGTACTAGCTCTTTTCCTGCTTCTCCGCCCACGTTAATTATAGCCTGTGTCACCATATAGCATAGCCGCATACAAATCACCCGTATGATATATACCTTCCTATAGGTGAAAGAATTTTCAGGATCCATTCAGACTTCCGAAGATACCCCCAAAAACAATCAAAATTTTACATCTTTATAATATTAGTATATATATATCTTAATTTTTCCTCAGAAGTTCATACATGTACTTACTTCTATCACAGAATATTTACTTGTTTATTTCTGTGAGGTGTCTATAAATTAATAATTCGCAAATTTCCACCTCATGTATGAAGATATATTGTTTTTTTATATGTAATCTAGTAGGTGCTACGATTGTTTCACGTCACAATACATTACGTGTGATTTTGATTTGTTTTTTATACTGTCAAAATTGAAAAAAAAATCTCTTACCAACATAATCAATCTTATCCATGTTATTCTTTCTCGCCAATGGAGCATTTACGATACAAGTGGCAAAAATATATCTACCTATTCTAATCACTAGTCATCATATGGCACGTAATCTATACTAATATTGCAAAGAGGAAAGATTTGTTTCCTTGCATTAAGTAGACTCTGAAACTACTGTAATTTACGAGGATTAAGTCGCGAAATCAACTAGTATTATATAAATAAGTATATATTTTGAGTCAGCTCCGGGATGTCTTTAAAAACTACTATTATAACATTGTTATTAAGTTACGAAACTATGCAAGCGTCCAGCATTATGATAAATGTTTATAAATATAAAGGTTATCAACATTAATACTTAGTAATTCCCATTACAGCATCTTTAAATGATAATATGATCATTATTGTCAAGAAAATTATGATATACTAGCTTTCCGCCAGCGGCATGGTCTTGTATTATACACCTTTCTTTTGAATCACCCTATCTATGAACACAAACCGCATCAAAATCCCTTGCGTAGTTTTAAAGATTTAAGCATACATGGGGATATATGGACAGAGAAAGCGACTTTATTTTATACTATGTAGTGCATCTTTAACAAGAGCCAACCATAGGATGAGCATAAGTGTGGTATCCCAACTCTATTTTTTCAGATATCACATTAAGAGCCATATTACATCGCAACTGTGATTTCTGCGTGATTTTTCTCGGAAACAAAAACAAATTAACAATTTTGACTTGTTGAATAGTGAAGAATAACTCTTGGTATAGAAATTAGTGGCTCAACTTTTTGGAAATTTTGCTCATCTTTTTAATTAAATCCAAAATACCAGAGAAAGTTTTTCATAAAATGCGCAAAGACACTTTTTTGAAGTCCTGGATTGAGCTACTGTTCTTAACAAACGAAATAAAAGAAATAGAATGATATCTCTTATATAGTCGTAAAGTAAACAGTAGCTCGAAATTTTGAAATAGCACTGATTAAATATAGAAAAACAATTATATTACAAACCAAAAAACATCAAAAATTGCTTGAAGTTAACTTTGAATTTCTCTTAGCCACAACAATATTATTTAACAAAATTTATGCCAGATTAATGACTATTTCATGAGGAACAAAGTTATTATAATTTTAAAGCATAAATTTATTATATTATTTCAATAAATACGATAAATGTAAACGCAAAATCACTACAAAATAAGATGCAGCGGCCGTCTGAGCTCAGTACCGCGCGAGCGCTCCTCAACGTTAGACCTGTGTCGCATTTCTTCGCGCCATTTTTCGATCTAGATACGTTCGAGCGAGCGTAAATAGAGCAGTATAGTGGGACTTCCAACTTTGGTCACGAAGTTCGATTTATATGGAATTTATATAGCTTATTGAATTATTTCTAATACACATTTGTTATTTTCAGCATAGGTCGAAAGACCCCTAGGTATATTTGTATAAGAAAGTTAAAATATATATTTATATTATGAAATGCAAATAAAGCAAGGTACTTCTTCTCTCAATACACTTATACTAGTACATAAAATTGGAGTGCATATTTGTAATATTAAAATAACCGCTTTTCACTAAATACATTTGTGTGTATACATGGTACATATACAAAATAATATATTTTATCTGTCTGTCTGTTAGTTCTGGCTAATCTCTGAAACGGCTTGGCCGATTTTGAAGAGACTTTCACTAGAACTTGACTTACGTAATGAGGATTAACTTAGACTTATGGCTCGATGCAATTCGACCGATATCAAATTTATCGGAGATCCGCATATGAAACAACTTTTTCTAAATTCAATATATTTTTAATCCCGGACGCAAAAACGACGCGGTGTTATAAGTTTGACATGTCTCTGTGTGTGTGTGTGGTGTGTTTGTGTCTTTTTGTGCCATCATAGTTCCCGAACGGATGAACCCATTTTGATTTTGTTTAAAAGGTGTATTAGTCGGGAGTGTTCTTCACTTTGATGAAAATCGATACAAGATGGCCGCCGCCACAAAATGTCGGATCACATATTTTATCACCATTCCATCAATATGGGTATCAAATAAGAGGGCTTGAGTAGTAGCATACTGAACACTATGACAAATTTCAAATCCAAGATGGCCGCCACCAAAAATGTTCGATTACCTACATATTTTTCACAACTCCCTCAATACGGGCATTAAATAAAAGGGCTTGAGTAGTAGAATACTGTTTACTATGACAAAATTTTATATACAAGATGGCCGCCGCCACAAAATGTTGGATTATCTATTTATTTATTTATTTATTTTGTACACACATACAATTTCATATGAACAAATGTAACAGACATTAGTACAAGGGCACTGCTTATTTCAAATTGAAATTTCTACCAGCAGGCCCAAAACAGGAAAAAGAAATACAATAAGGTAGTCAGTGTGTACCTCCTAAATAAATTAATATGGAATAAAAAAAACAAATTCAAATACCGGGAAAGAGAGAAAATAAAAATACATAACGGTTCAAACATTATATAAATAATAATATATATATCTATAATATATAAAGCTCAATTACCACTGACTGACTCACTCACTGACTCACTCCATGCTTTTTTCGGGTAGAAGGAGTTGGTAAATTACGTTTTCATGTATGGAGAGTGATAATATTTTTTTAAAATGAGTTGAAATGGCATTGGGGTTCAGCCAAAAAACAAAATGGCGGCGAGATAATTTTTTTAATTTCTACATTATTCACTCTACGATTACGAAATTAAAAATGGTCGTAGATTTGGCTAAAAAAATGACACTGAAAAAGGGTTTGATTAAAAAAACAAAATGGCGGCCGAGATATTTTACCTGGAAATTTGGCATTTTTTGACCTCTGTTCGGGCAATCGTCGATTGTTTTTTTGTGAGTGCGGAGGGGGAATTTTTACTCCTTCAGCTCGGAAGTATAGTCGATTTTCACGTAGGGGGAGTTTTCATTTGCTTGTCAATATGGCGGCGGCGGAGGCGGCCATTTTGTTTCGGCAATGAAAAACTGCCATTTTCCAGTGAGATTTTCTCCAAGATGGCGGCGTCGGACGGATTCGCGTTCTATGGGCCGGTCGTGGGGCTCGGTGGGTTCTTTCTACTTCACTACCGATTTCTACCATTTTCGTGGTAGTTTATGAGATTTTGGGAGTAAAGTGAATTTTGGAAATACGCACTTTTCGCGGAAAACAGACTCGATGCGTTGTGGCGCCGGGGGAGCCCTATGATTTTTGGTAGTTTTCGTTTCCGCGAGCTGACAACCCTGGGCTCCACGGTAGAAAACGTGTTTTTCGACATGCCCTCATAACCCGAATTGTTTGGGAACCTGGGTGGCCAGCGGAGAAAATCTGTGAATGAGGTCCCTTGCCTGATATAGTCGTGACTATGGGAAAATTATGAAACCCGGCAAAATCAATATGGTGGCGCCGGCAGCGGCCATTTTGTGATTTTTTCACTTTTTCGAAAAATTCAAACGCACTTTTAGCACACATGGCAACATTGTAGCTCTTCGCCTGGTATGGACTGGTCGTGAGTCTCCGCTGGCTCTTTCGAATGACGTGAAAATTTTTCCCTATTTTAGGGTAATTTCGGAGATTTACCCCAAAAAGGTGAAAAGTAAAAGGAGCCGTTTGGGAATTTCAAAAATACTTTTCCTCGACGGAGGGCACTCCCCGAAATGACATTTGACCATTTTTATCGTCGTCACCTGGCAACCCTGGTGTATGTGGCGATTTGAAAAATTTCACCCGTTTTTTACTTTGTAGACTCTAGCGCAGTCGGTATTGCCACTAGGAAAATGGTAAAAACTGCATCGGATGCGTTATCGAGTTGGCCACACCGGTACGGAGCCGGATTTTCGAAATTCAAGATGGCGGCCAAACCAGCGGCCATTTTATCCGAAAAATTGGGTATCGTCACCACGTCGAGCCGATTTTGACGCACTTGGCGACATTTGTCAGAGTACTTCCGGGGAAACATTTTTTAGGCAAGTAACTAAAGTGTTGCCAGGTGAAAAAAAATCTCGAAAATTTTTGATACTTTATGAGATTTTTGAGGAAACAATTTTTGTCGAATTTTTTAACTTTTTTGATGAAAATATTTTAATTTTAACTTTTCAAGATATCCGATGAAAAATATAGAACGATCGACTGGCAACACTGAGAGCAAACGACGTTTGAAATTCAACCTTGATTTTGACCGACTTGGCAATCCTACAGGTATTTGGCATGTATGGAGCGATTGTGTGTCTCTATAGACTCTTTCATATGGTGGAAAAAAATTACCCGATTTTAGGGTAGTTTTTGAGATTTACCCCAAAAACTGTAAATGTCAAAGGAACAATTTTAGAACTTGAAAATTGGTATCCAACGATGGAGGGCGCATCCCGAAATCACATTTGACTGTTTTCATCGCCTACATCTGGCAACCCCGACAGCTACGGCGGTTTGAAAGTTCAATGCCCACTGTTCACGTTTTGGACTCTAGCGCAGTCACTATCGCCGCTACGAAAATAATAAAAACTGCGTTGGATGCGCCAATAAGTGGGCTACATAGGCATGAGGTTGAAATTTTAAAATTCAAGATGGCGGCTTAAACAGCGACCATTTTATCTAGAAAATTGATCATTTTTCATGACTTTCACTTTATAGAGCTGATTTTGGCGTTTTTGGTAACATTTTTAAGAATATTTCTAACAAAAAATATGTATTCAGCTGAAGTGTTGCCAGATGAAAAAAGTCTGTAAATTTTTTTATACCGAGATTATTGAGAAACTTTCATGTATGTCATTGATGAAAAATATTAAAATATTTTTTTACAATGATTTTACTGTTTAATAAAATTTTTACTGTTGCATTTATAACATAATTGATGGAATAATTTGAGTTCTAGCAACACTGATAGTAGTCACCATAGTAATTTCAAAATGATTCTGACTGAGTTGGTGACTCGGAAGCTTTGCATATATAAACCGTTTCTGTATCTTTACTCAATCTTTACGTGGTGAGAAAAAAAAAAATCCAATATTTTCACCAGAAAAATAAAGTGAGCGAGAAATTGTCATTCGGTTAGATTAAAATTGCGACTAAAACAAAAAGCGAGCGAAGCGAGCCATAAAAAGTGACCAATTAGAGAGATTCGATTAATTGGTAAGGTAAGAATTGTGACTAAAATAAAATGCGAGCGAAGCGAGCCATAAACAACACCACCAATAGAAATCTGATCAATCGGTTATGTTAGCACTGTGACTCAAACAAAAAGCGAGCGAAGCGAGCCATAAAGGTTAACTATTAAGAGAGATTTGGTTAATTGGTAAGGTTAGAACTGTGACTAAAATAAAATGCGTGCGAGCAAAGCGAGCCATAAAAAACACCATCAATAGAGGCCTGGTCAATCAGTTAGATTAGAACTGCCATTGAAACAAAAAGCGAGCGAAGCGAGCCATAATGCCAGACCATTAAGAGAGACCTGATCAATCGATTATGTAAGCACTGTGTGTAAAACAAAAAGCGAGCGAAGCGAGCCATAAGGAGTAACTGTTAAGAGAGATTTGGTTAATTGGTAGGGTTAGAACTGTGACTAAAATAAAATGCGAGCGAAGCGAGCCATAAAAAACACCATCAATAGAGGCCTGGTCAATCAGTTAGATTAGAACTGCCATTGAAACAAAAAGCGAGCGAAGCGAGCCATAATGCCAGACCATTAAGAGAGACCTGATCAATCGATTATGTAAGCACTGTGTGTAAAACAAAAAGCGAGCGAAGCGAGCCATAAGGAGTAACTGTTAAGAGAGATTTGGTTAATTGGTAGGGTTAGAACTGTGACTAAAATAAAATGCGAGCGAAGCGAGCCATAAAGAACACCATCAATAGAGACCTGGTCAATCGATGAGATTAGAACTGCGAAAAAAACAAAAAGAAAAAGCGAGCGAAGTGAGCCATAGTTTTTATTTTATAGAGCTGATTTTGGCATTATTGATAACATTTTTCAGACTACTTACAGAAAAAAAATGTATTTAGTTGAAGTGTTGCCGGGTGTTAAAAAGCTGTTTTTTTTTGATACTTTAATTTTTAGGAAATTTTCTATTGAATAAGAATAAAAGACTACAAGGCGATCTATACAACATTTATTTTAAGATTTCCTTACGTTTTTCAACTGAATATTTGTTTTTATATTGCGTGTAAACTAGCAACCTTTTTTTTATGTATGATGTTTTGCGTACTTAAAGATCTTTTATTTGAAGATAGAACTTACTTACTTTTTCTAGGCAATTTTATACTGTAAACCCAACATAACAAGAGGCGGTCTTAAAACTCCAATATCTGTATTAACTAAATATTAACTTACTTTTGAATAAGAATTAGAGAATAAATGACTACAAGCTGATCTATTCCAAATTTTATTTTAGTTTTGCTTGCATTTTTCAACTGAATGTTTCTTTTTCTATTTAGCATAAACTGGCAACCCTTTTACTTTGTCGTATGGAGCTTTATGTACTTAAACATAATTTATTTGAAGATAGAACTCACTAACTTTTCCTAGGCAATTTCAAACTGTAAACATAACAAGAGGCGGACCTAAGATCCCACCGCTCCGATTCCACAAGCGACTCGTTTATGCTCAAGAACTTTACAATAAGTAAAGCAACAAAAACTTCCATTGGTTTATTATGACATATCGGTTAGGTTAGATTAGTGTATGAAAAACAACGCACGAGCCGAGCGAGCGTGCCGCGGTAGCGGCCGGCGAAGTGTCAGAAACGAATCGCTTTTGTTGGTGGTAACATTTGGTTTATAATGTTTAAAAGATGATCGTGATCATTTTAATTTCAATTTTGATTTCGATGGACTTGACAATTCGGGATCTTTATAGCGTGTATATATGGACCATTTGTGTAGAAATCTTTACCCACACTTTCACATACTCAAGTAGGGAGAAAAAAAATCTAATTTTTGACACGATATTTAATACTTTAAACATATTTTTCTATACTTTTAGATTATTGAGAAACATGTTCTTTTGATATTCAATATAAAAGTGTTCTACGTACGTATGAGTTTGAAATTTGACATTTATTTATTTGGTGTATTATTAAAGGTAACACTGGGGGAAATATCTACTTGATCCTTTTTCATACTAATTATAAACTTACTATTGAATAAAAATAAGCGCCTATAATTTATTTAGCGTTTTGCTTGCATTTTTCGACTGAATATTTATTTTTCTATTGCGTGTAAACTATCAACCCCTTTTCTTTGATGTATGGTATTTTGGGTACTAAACCACCTTTCATTTGAAGATAGAACTTACTTACTTTTTGTAGACGTTCTCAAACTATAAACACAAATTCCGCAACGAAGTTGGACTTAAAACCTAACCGCCCCGATTCCACTAGCTACTCGTTACCCCTCCGGCTGCTCGCAGCCCGGGGCAACCAAGCGAAAGCTTCTATTCTGAAACGAAGGCGAACTTAAAACCCCATCGCGTCGTGAATTGATCTATTCGAATATCTGGCCCCGACATCGGTTCCCTTTTCATATAATAAATAAATCTTAATTGTTTAACTAATGATAGTAACACTGATGGAAATATATGTTCGATTGTTTTTTAATATTATACAGTAATTTAATAATAAATAAGAATAAGAGAATAAAACACAAAACTTATTTTAAGTATCTATACAAAATTTATTTTAAGTTTTGCTTGCGTTTTTCGACTGAATATCTTTTTCTATTAAGTGTGAACTGGCAACACTTTTTCTTTGATGTATGATGCTTTGTGTCCTTTAACACCTTTTATTTGAAGATAGAACTAACTGACCTTTTCTGCGCATTTTCAAACTGTAAACCCGACATAACAATAGGCGGACTTGAAACCCCACCGCCCCGATTCCACCAGCTACTCGTGACCTCCCCGGGCTGCTCGCAGCCCGGGGCAACCAAGCGAAAGCTAGTCTATAATATATAAAGCTTAATTACCACTGACTGACTCACTCACTGACTCACTCCATGCTTTTTTCGGATAGAAGGAGGGGGAAAATGACGTTTTCATGTATGGAAAGTGACAATATTTTTTTAAAATGAGTTGAAATGGCATATCGGTACAGCCAAAAAACAAAATGGCGGCGAGATAATTTTTTTAATTTCTACATTATACACTCTACGATTACGATATTCGAAATGGTCGTAGATTTGGCTAAAAAAATGACGCTGGAAAAAGGTTTGATTAAAAAAACAAAATGGCGGCCGAGATATTTTACCTGAAAAATTGTCATTTTTCGACCTCTGTTCGGGCAATCGTCAATTGTTTTTTTGTAGGTTCGGAGGAGGGATTTTTACGCTGGCGACTCGGAAATATAGTCGACTTTCACGTACGGGGAGTTTTCGCTTGCGCGTCAATATGGCGGCGGCGGGGGCGGCCATTTTGTTTCGGCAATGAAAAATCGCCATTTTCCTGTGAGATTTTCTCCAAGATGGCGGCGTCGGACGGATTCGCGTTCTATGGGCCGGTCGTGGGGCTTAGTAGGATATTTCCACATTAGTACTAATTTCTACCATTTTCGTGGTAGTTTAGGAGATTTTGGGAGAAAAGTGAAATTTCGAAATACGCACTTTTCGCGGAAAACAGACTCGGTGCGGTGTGGTGCCGGGGGAGCCCTATGACTTTTGGTAGTTTTCGTTTCTGCGAGCTGACAACCCTGGGCTCCACGGTAGAAAACGTGTTTTTCGACATGCCCTCATAACCCGAATTGTTTGGGAACCTGGGTGGCCAGCGGAGAAAATCTGTGAATGAGGTGTCGTGCCAAATATAGTCGTGACTATGGGAAAATTATGAAACTCGGGAAAATCAATATGGCGGCGCCGGCAGCGGCCATTTTGTGATTTTTTCACTTTTTCGAAAAATTCAAACGCACATTTAGCCTACATGGCAACATCGGAGCTCTTCGCCTTGTATGGAGCGGTCGTGAGTCTCTGCTGGCTCTTTCGAATGACGTTAACTTTTTCCCTAATTTTAGGGTAATTTCGGAGATTTACCCCAAAAAGGTGAAAAGTAGAAGGAGCCGTTTCGGGATTTCAAAAATGCATTCCTTCGACGGAGGATGCTCCCAGAAATGATATTTGGCCATTTTCGTCGTCGACACCTGGCAACCCTGGTGTATGTGGCGATTTGAAAAATTTCACCCATTTTTTACTTTGTAGACTCTAGCGCAGTCAGTATTGCCACTAGGAAAATGGTAAAAAGTGCATCGAATGCGCTATCGAGTTGGCCACACCGATACGGAGCCGGATTTTCGAAATTCAAGATGGCGGCCAAACCAGCGGCCATTTTATCCGAAAAATTGGGTATCGTCACCACGTCGAGCCGATTTTGACGCACTTGGCGACATTTGTCAGAGTACTTTCGGGGAAACATTTTTTAGGCAAGTACCTAAAGTGTTGCCTGGTGAAAAAAAATCTCGAAAATTTTTGATATTTTATGAGATTTTTGAGGAAACACTTTTTGTCGAATTATGGATTTTTTTTGATGCAAATATTTTAATTTTAACTTTTCAAGATACCCGATGGAAAAAATAGACCGATCGACTGGCAACACTGAGAGCAAACAACGTTTGAAATTCAACCTCGATTTTGACCGACTTGGCAAACCCGCAGGTGTTTGGCATGTATGGGGCAATTATGTGTCTTTTCAAACTCTTTCATATGAAGAAAAAATTTTACCCGATTTTAGGGTATTTTTTGAGATTTACCCCAAAAACTGTAACTGTCAAAGGAACAATTTTAGAACTCGAAAATTGGCATCCGTCGATGGAGGGCACATCCCAAAATGACATTTGACTATTTTTATCGCCTACATCTGGCAACACCGGCAGCTACGGCTGTTTGAAAGTTCAATGCCCACTATTCACGTTTTGGACTCTAGCGCAGTCATTATCGCCGCTAGGAAAATAATAGAAACTGCGTTGGATGCGCCAATAGATGGGCTACATTGGTCTGAGGTTGAAATTTCAAAATTCAAGATGGCGGCTTATACAGCGACCATTTTATCAGGAAAATTGAACATTTTTCATGACTTTCACTTTACAGAGTTGATTTTGGCGTCCTTGGTAACATTTTTAAGAATACTTTTAACAAAAATATGTATTCAATTGAAGTGTTGCCAGATGAAAAAAAACTGTAAATTTTTTGATACCGAGATTTTTGAGAAACTTTCATGTATGTCATTGATGAAAAAAGTTTTAATACGAAAGTGTTATAGGTTTATTATATTGACATATGGGTTAGGTTTGGTTAGTGTATGAAAGACAACGCACGAGCCGAGCGAGCGCAGCGAGCGTGCCGCGGCAGCGGCCGGCGAAGTGTCAGAAAAGAATCGCTTTTGTTGATCGTAATATTTGGTTTATAAGATGATCGTGTAAGGCTGAACATATTTTTCTATACTTTTAGATTATTGAGAAACATGTTCTTTTGATATTCAAAATAAAGGTGTTCTACATATGTATGAGTTTGAAATTTGACATTTATTTATTTGGTGTATTATTTAAGGTAACACGGGGGGAAATATCTACTTGATCCTTTTTCATACTAATTATAAACTTACTGTTGAATAAGAATAAGAGACTTTAATTTATTTAGAGTTTTGCTTGCATTTTTCGACTGAATATTTATTTTTCTATTGCGTGTATATTATCAACCCTTTTTCTTTGATGTATGGTGCTTAAACAACTTTCATTTAAAGACAGAACTTATTAACTTTTTGTTGGCGATTTCAAACTTTAAAACAAACATATCAAAAAATATCGAAAATCTCAAATTCTGCAACGGAGGCGGACTTAAAACCCCACCGCCCCGATTCCACTAGCTACTCGTGACCTCCCCGGGCTGCGAGCAGCCCGGGGCAACCAAGCGAAAGCTTCTATTCTGAAACGAAGGCGGAGTGAAAACCCCATCGCGTCGTGAATTGATATCTGGCCACGACATCATTTCCCTTTTCATATAATAAATAAATCTTACATAAATAATGTAATGTAATAATGCAAATACAATAAATACTATTTCTTGACATTTAATTAATTAATTAATGATAGTAACACTGATGGAAATATATGTTCGATTGTTTTTTAATATTATACAGTAATTTACTAATAAATAAGAATAAGAGAATAAAAGACATAAACTTATTTTAAGTATATATACAAAATTTATTTTATGTTTTGCTTGCGTTTTTTGACTGAATATTTATTTTTCTATTAAGTGTCAACTGGCAACACTTTTTCTTTGATGTATGGTGCTTTGTGGCCGAAACCTGCTACCTATCACAATGGCCTGAGATTTACTCGGGTTAAGCATGAGGCCAAACGAGTTTGCCCAAGTACTAATGCGATCCAAATCGTTATTAATAGCTACCAGTGCCGAGTTACAGTCTTCTATTCTAAAGTGTCGATAAAGCTGCAAGTCGTCTGCATAGAGGTGGAAGTTGGAAGATATAACTTTAGTAACCGAGTTAATGAAAATAGAAAATAAGAGAGGTGAGAGAACAGCACCCTGAGGAACACCCGCACCGAGGTCGCACCAATCAGAAGATTTATTACCAAGACGCACACGTTGCGTGCGTCCCCGAAGGTAGGAATCAAACCATGAGAGAACAGAAGGAGAGATATTGCAAGAACGAAGAATAGCGAGAAGAATGTCAAAATCGACAGAATTAAAAGCACTGCTGAAGTCTAGAAGAATTAGAACTGTAAGAGCTTTATTCTCCATAGCCCAACGAATATCATCAGTAATGTTTATTAAAGCTGTTACAGTACTGTGACCAGGGCGGAAACCAGATTGGTACCTATTCAAAAGGGAATTAGAAAAAAGAAAAGTTGATAATTGCTTATGAACAATATGCTCAAGAAGTTTAGAGAGAAGGGGAAGAATAGAAATAGGACGAAAATGAGATGGGACTGAAGGATTAGATACTTTAGGCAGTGGAATAATGTGCGCCATCTTCCAAATTTTGGGAAAAGAACCGGATTCAAGTGAGAAGTTAAGTATGTGAACAAGTATAGGAAGGAGAAAAGATAAAATAGGGGTAAACATTCTTACGCTTAGGTTGTCCTCGCCAGCAGCCTCGGAGGAAATGGCTTGAATGGTATTTTTAATGTCAGTTTCGGATATTTTTGAAAAGACAAACGATGTGCAGTCTGGCCTCGGAACCAGTGAAAGTTCTGCGAGCGTAGAATCCTTTATGTCACCATTGATAGTAGAAGGAGGAAGGGAGAAGTGTCTGTTAAGGACGCTTAAATCTACATTGGTAGACACAGTAGCAGTAGATTTCCCCACTCCTACAGAGCGCAAAAACCGCCAGGCATCAGTAGGATTGCGATCAGTAAGAGAGCTATGGAAGAAGCGTCGCTTAGCATCCCTACACATACGACTGCAGCAATTTCGAAGAACCTTAAAACGAATAAGATTGCGGTTAGTTGGACATTTCGTATATGCTCTTTTTGCCTTATCTCTTTTTTGACCACCAAAAAAATTGACCACCCATCCCATTGCCGGCCTTTGCAATCGTCGCTTAACCTCCTCAATCGCAGATCAAACGAGCTATCCGGCACCATCGAGCTTTTCATTTGTTTATATACGGATATTGCCGTATTTTTTTGTAAAATTCAATATATTTTGATGATATGGTAAGTATGAGCAAATGAATCGTTCCTCGATATTATTGAACAGAAAATCAAAAGCAGATCGAGCGTTCTACCACCTTCATACATTTGAAGTGATACCGCAGACCATGAGATTTGTGACCGATATTGACAGATAGTACAATCTCATGAGCAAACACTTGAGTTTTTCCATACATTTTATAAGTGCATGCGATTCGTGTGATATCGTTCATTCATATCGAATAACATCGCATCTAGCCATGAGAAAAGAACCTTAGGTTACTTTCCATTCGCATAAAGCCGCGGGCACAACTAGTTTAATATAATTCTAATTTACTACTTTTCCAAACAGGAAACAGTCCATGTTTCCTATGGATGACGAAAATATTTCAAAATCGTAGACGAAAAATATGGCACGATAATTTTTTAGTTAATATTTATAATTTTATTGATATATTGTCATCGCTATTTATTTTTATAGCCTATGATTTGGCTAAACTTGTTTCTTTTAATTTTTGTCCGATCTTAGCAGTCGTGTTTTAATTTTTAAATAATTTTTATATTTTATTCATTTTAGTGAGCAGTTAATTTTGTATTCAGATTATATATTTTTAATGGACCTTTAATTTGATACCCATAAAGTTATGATTATAAAAAAAACATACTTTTTTAAATGGTGTCACACGTCCCCATACCTATTTAATATTAATAATTAAGCTAGTTTCACTGATACTCTATGTATTTTGTGGTAACTTAGGATGATGTTTCTAATGATACCCTGTACATTCATATCCGTTATATCTTTCAAAAGTTATGGTGCAATAAAAATACTCACATACATACATTAATTCTAAAAACAATAGACTCCTTTTCGAGAGCAGTCGTTTAAAATATTCGGGAATCGATAATGAATCTCACCATAGAAATACTAAAATAAATACAAAAATTGGGAAAAGTATCAAAATAGCTTGAACGTGGTTTCAACACAGTATTGTGGACTCGTGACCTTGAACAAGTTCTCGAGAACTCAAATCACAGAGTGAAAATTTGTCATATGGCTCTTAAGGCGAGGTTTTACGAAATTACCACTTTTTAAACCAATTTTATTTTAAGGCTACTATTATTTGCCAAATAAAATTCATTTTATGAAAATTAAATATGTATATGCCTACAAAATTAGAAACAATCATAAATCGACTAGATAGAAAAAATCGCCAACGTGACTAAATAGGTTTTTGGATCGATTTCGCGACTAATATAATTATTTCATTTTCACTATATAAGGTGGAATTTTATTATATGCTAGGACTTCATAGAATAGATTATTGAGGTATACTGAAGAAATTTTGCTACGGAAACAACACAGAATTCATGAAAAGAAAAATTATACAAAATTGAGATACCTGCAATCATGGACAGTAAGAAACAGGTTTTCGTGAATTCAGTGTTGCTCCTATAGTAAAAGTTGTTCAGTATACACTAGTATATACCGCTCATTGAATAGTACAGTGGCACAACTCAAAAACCATAATTTCGAGAAACGAAAGTTATGAAAATTTCTCCTAAGTTATGAAAATTTAATATATTTATAATTATGAAAATCTAGTTTTTTAGCATAACAGTTAAATCGTTTGTTTTATATTACTACTGTTAAGTTTTTTATTTTTTCTTTAAATTATCTATGGGATGCCACCACAATGTTGTGGCGTTTCTCGAAATAATGGTTTTTGAGTTGTGCCGCTGTACTTTTCAGTGAGCGACACGAAGTTGTAGCATATAATAATATCACACCTTAAATAAAAAAATATACAAAAAATAGGTTTTGATATAATCTAAAACGATCAAAAAGGCATGTTGGCCCATTTTTCCTATTCGATTCGATATATTGTAAGATAGAAAAGTATTGGCTACTATGGACAGCGCTTTATGTCAGTATTAGTTTCGACGAGTATATAGAGAACAAAAGTGAAACTCTAGCAGTGGGGACAATCAGCTAATGATATCAATGAGAATGCAAAGTTTATGAAATAAAATATCAATTATTGTTATAGGTTGTCCAAGGTAGCACTATATATCTGCGCGTGCCTGGCGTCCTTCAGTCCGGCAGCAAGGAGAGCTTCATGTTGCTGCTAGACTTCGCTGAGGAGAGATTAGCCTGCAACAAGTAATTTATAGCAACGTTTTTAATTATTAAAGTATTTATTTTGAAGTAATAAATTAACTAGGTAACACTGTTACAGAAAACCAATTATTTAAAAATAAAAAAATAGGTTAAAATCTAAATGAAAAATATAGTTTTATTACAGCGTATGAGGGTTTAAAATTGACATTTCAGGCGGGGGATCGTTCTGTACTTTATAATTTAGAGCTTTCGTAGTAATTGAAAATTTAAACACATACATTACGTTAACTCTTAATCTCCTGCCCAAAAAGGGCAGACAAGTAATGTTGGTCATTAATCCAGGTACACTAGGGTCACCATAAGTAATATACCCACCAAAAGATATGTCAAAATAATAAAATGAAATATCTCCATAATATGTGGTGTAATAAGATCTTCACTCCATGGTCTACTTGGAATGCTGCCAGGCACCAGTATAAAATTGTCAGCTTATAAAAAATAATATGAACTGAACTATCTATCTTAATAGATGGAGGTAACAATCTAATTTTTTTTTAACTTTCCGTCATTGTTTAGGTAATTTCCAGTCTTTTCCCTTTTGTAATTTTGCTTAAAGTAACTAATGAATTATAATTTCAGTAATAATAATAATCTCTATTATACCTACATACAATTGAATAGGGAGAATGGACCATGACATACCACGCGGGCATATTGTGGATTGGTAAATGATAACAACTGCATATGCAGTCGGGATCAACACTTTAACGTGTTCCGGAGCACAGAGGAGTTCGAGACATAAATGTTTGATCATACATCCTATGAACGGTCCTCATTAAATTTGCTTAACAACCGTATGATATAGACTGAGCGCGCTAATCACTGCTGTCAATACAAACTTCCCGTCTCTCTTGAGTTCTGTAAAAATCCAACCTTGCTCAACTTTGAATTGGTATTAATGTTTTGTAGCATCACGTTTAAGCTTTGTACTATAAAGTCATTTTCGAAATCGAGTCCCAGCATTGGAGATTATAGGCTGGTGATAATGATAGCTACATATTTCTCTTTTTTTTTTTCTATTTTAGCTGCATCATCTGCGTTCTGAAAACTCGTCCCGATCGAGCAACGCTTCTACGCACTTTCATGTTCATGGGTTTCCAGGTTCTACCACCCAACTCACCCGTAATGCAAGAAATTAATAATCCAGACTATATATTTTTGCACTACAACATGCAGTAAACATAAAAAAATCCGTAGATGTATCTGTGTATTACACGATATAAGACGTAAAATAAATGTCTTATACATTTGTCTTATTTCGACAAATTTGTACTATAAAAATACTTTTTACTACACATATATGTCTAACGGATTTTGACATTGAACATTTAGATCTGTAAAGGGCTAACCAACTGTCCCCTTCAGTCGCCAGATGTGTCTAAGAGAAGGTCTTGTTTTTCTAATTCTTATAATAATCTCGCAAGGCTTTGTAAAGCACCAACAAGTTAGATATGTAGTAGTATTTTAGATTATAAATATTATTGTAGAAGTATGTTTTGTGACCCTACTTGAAACTTGCATTTTTTTTTAATGAAAAATATTGTCTACTTATATAGTAATAAATAGACCAGCTTAATGATTTTTATTCTTAAAATTTACTTTTTTAATGAAAAATTCAAATATATAGTCTTTTTTATTACATTGATTTGCAAATATGGTCACAAAATTTATAAGTGTATTTCATTTCTACAGTCTTAACTTTGAAATTTAAGCGCTTTCTTACACAAAAAGCTTATTTTATCAACTCTGTAATGATAGTTATACATTCAAGTTAATTCTTATTTACTATTAGTATTAATAAACAGTGTATGTCGTCGTGTATATTATTCACCCACTCCGGGATAGAGCAAAAAAATTAATAAACTAAAGAAAAAAAAAACAAAAAAATATAAAATCTAAAAAAAAAAAGGTTTGTAAAAACATCCAGTTCCACCCTTAATTCTTGTTCACATTTTTCACCAGGAATCAAGCTAAGACTGAACGTTGCAGATGATTTTCGACTTAACTATGTTCGCGTTAAAGTATAAAATCACTGCTGCGTTGTTTTCAAAATATATTTCTGTTAAAAATCACATTTCTTTCTACGTAGTTTCAACATAACTGTATTCTTATTCAATGAAAAAAGTAGCATGTAAGATTTTATTTTAAATTTCTTTATTTTTTTAGTATTATATAAAATAGGTAAGTTCTAGACGGTCTTATTCCGATTCGTTCGAGCTTGTGTGTCAACATGGCGCCCGCAAAAATCGCGCGAGTCGAGGATAAGTACTTTTATTTTAGATTATAATTTTCTCAACGCTATACCCTATTGCTTACAGTATTTTATTTTCAAAAGTATTATAAGATCTATTTTTTTTTTTTGTTAAAGATACCTGGGATAGCGTTGTTAGTAGTTTCATTGTATTAAATATTAATGTATGACAAAGGATTAAAGTTAATCTTAAATCTATTGGCGTTTCATTTAATCGTCGGGCTCCTACAAAAAGGTTTGATTATATACTTGAGGCAAAATACTTTTTCACTAAAATTTAAAAAAAATTGTAGTCTAGTGCAAATATAGTATTGTATACCAACAAAATATTTACCCGTTACGCGACCTTTGATTATCATATCTTTTTCTTTATCATAAAAAAATATCAGTGATTTTACCGAAAACTCGGCCGTGGAAATGCTATTTTTACCTACGTACATATAAAATTAAAGAAGTAAATAACATAAGTAAATGTGGATTTTGCAAGCTGGCAATTTTTACTGCTATAAGTTCAAAAACTCATACAAGTTTTCTTTTTTTATCCCTACCACTTGTTCGGGACGTCTTTTAGCTGACAAGAAGAACAAGCGAAAGAAACTTATTATCATAAGTAATGACATTAACAAAATCATGTCATTACCAAAATAGTATGTGTTATCACAATAATAAACACAGCTTTCAACAAGTCTTTAGATCACAGTTTGTACATATATGTAATTAAATATTAAAGAACAAAGCGAAGGCTATTAATTCCATGCATTGCGATCCTTAAAATAATCATCAACTTATAGCCTTTTTCTCTACATGAATTTAAACTTATTTATGGGTAGGTCAATTACATTTTGACCAATAAGCCAAGAGAGTACCATCCCAGCTACACAAAATACCTTTTTTTTTTCAAATGACCCTCATTAGGGGAGGGGGTAAGGATCCGGGATCCTGCAACTAGCTATCCGGACTTTACCCCACTTTTGGGACCCTTTTAAGGTCCTCCCTCTTGATTAGGAGACGCCGGTGGGTATGCGCCGCGTGCAACATAGTCGGTCTGCAAGACTACTGGCGTGGGTGTGTGCAATAGAGGTAGAGGTCACCTCTTGATTTCTCATCGGTGATGGTAACGTCGCAGACACCGTAGTAGATTGTAGGGCGGAAGAGATAGCCAAAATTCTTTCCTCTAAAGAGGCATCTTGACTGTCTGGAAAGAAATTATGATGCATTCGAGTCTCATCTTCAAAGCATCAGATAGTGCATAATGCGGAGTATATCCTACGACACAATAAATGGGTGCTTACAAAAGGTACACATATTATAGTCCTGACTCAGGTGAGTGAAAGAAAATAGTTATTTCTTTTCTGTTCAGCAACATGACGAATCTTCATCTTCAAGATCGCCAGCATTCTGGATCAAGTAGATTATTTTCTAACGTTAGAGCGACATCAGCTATGTCATTTAATGTTTTCTAGACAGCTTATTCAATATTGACGAGGAACTGCTGGTGCTTTAAGACACTGAAGCGTGATCGTTCGTTATTTTGTAATTCTGAAACCACGAACAAATGATACGTGTTTGCTCATCGCACGCCGCACTTCACGACGCGGCGTCCATGTACAATCCTTCTTGGAGGAACTGAGAATGCAGGACTGAGGCCTCCGCTGTTGCACGCAAAAGAGGCACTTGGTGTCGAGTGCGGGTACAACCCGCCAACAAGAAGAAGGTTTGATATGAAAGATTTAAAATACTTTTCCTAAAACATTAAATTAGTAAATAAAGGAATTTCATGATAACGTTTTCTATAAGACGGTTAAAAATAAAGGGTTTATCTTAGTATCTACTTATATTTCACAAAAATTCGTATCATCGATAAAGGCTACTTTGGCATTGTTTTATAAAAGCCACTAAAATGATTAGATTATAAAAATGAGATAATTCCAAATGATATTGAAATTATCAATCGCGAATTTATTTTTTATCAATGTTTAGTAGTCGTTGCTGAAATATTGTTTATTTAAAAAAAATCTTACAATTTCAAATTTAGTTAAACTTAAATGTGTACCTAAATAAGGAAGGTCCAAATGTAAGTTAGCATTACATTTTATATGATTAGTTAATTCTCTGTGGATAATGTTAAGTTCTGCTAATTCAATACGTTTTTGTTGGATTATCTATTTGAAGATTTTATTTGTGGGATTAACGTATACTCCATTCATTATAACATTAGAAAAAAGAGGATCTCAGAAGCAGCAGTGCAGAACATTTTATATACAAGATAAATTTAAAAAATATTTATAATAGTTTTGTCGAAATTTTGAACTTTGGGTAGTCCGAAAGAGTTGGGCAATTTTACATTTTTTCGGGGTTGAGATGAGACTGGCATTTTCTAAATTCATCTTTTACTGAGAGCCAACATAGAAATAAAATTATCTATCTGTTGTTTTGATTGATTCTTATTGTAAGTGTATATAATTAGAATATAATTTAGTTATATCTATGCCCAGAAAATAAAGGTAAACTAAATTATTTTTTTTATATTTTATTTATTCAGATATTATTAATTATATTATTGATAAGACATCGGAAAAACTTGCTGAAATGTCAAAGGTAATTGTTGACGACAGCCACGTGCCGAAAAATGTACAGATCGAACGACCAATCACAGCGCCTACATTTGCGGAATTCTCAGGGAGCCCATTGGCTGCGTATGCGTCGTCCGCACGGTGGGGGCGATTCCCCCACCCGGCGCGCGGGCGCAAAACGCGCTGTGATTGGTCGGCCGCCGCGCGTCACTAGTAGCTAAGTTAGATGTTAAGTTTAGAATAAGGGTAGGGCCAAATTTGTAAATATTCGTAGTCAAGTCAAGTCAGTCAAGCAGTATAGTCAAGCAGTAATAAGTAGCCAGTAAGAAGAAAATACAATAAATCATCTATAGAAGAAATTCGTCTTTGTTTTTCACCATCATCCACGGTTATACAACATCGTCTACAGTTTGATCCATAGAGCCGGATCAGCACCCTCAATAGTTTTGGTCCTTCGAGAAGCCGGATCTAAACACGTATAGAACCTTCGAGATCCAGCAACAGCAATTCAAGATGGTGCTTACAAGAAGCCAAGACGAAGAAAACCAACGTCGTGTCTTCGACCAGCCGCCGAGATCGCCCTCAAGTACACCGACCGTACGAGGACGTCTCGAGACGGGTAACGCCGGGGAGAGCCTACGCACCGCACCGCAAGTCTCGCAACTAGCGCCTAACGCGAACCGCGCTGGGGCAGACGTTGCCGGAGCACGCGTCGCCTTGGCAGTGACTACGCAGCCGCCGAGCGGAGCGGACGAACGCGCAGCACACCCAACGGACACAGCGGCGACTACTGGAATAACGACATCTGCGATGACGTCATCGGTGCAACCGGCGAAGAGAGTGCACGTCGCGCGTTCGACCCGCTCGGCAGCGAGCAACGCGGCACGCCGGAAGCTACGCATCGAGGCAGAAGAACGACTGGCTGCCATAAGACGCCGAGAACTCGAAATTGAAGCGGACCTCATAAAAAAGAC